CGTAGCGGATGGGTTGACACTCGCTGTCCTTGGATGGCACTTGGATAATCTCTTAGTTGATGAGGTACAGCGGGTAGGAGTAAAATACGCTCTCGTGGACAAAACTCCCCTTTAATGGGTTGGTCATACTAACTGACCTAGCAAGTCGAGGGTAGTGTTGTTCGCGTCCGTAGGTTCTGCTTTTACACCCTACACGTGCTCTCCGGGTAGTGCTAAATGAACAACAGCAAACAACGATATGGAAATGTCAGAAGATATGCAAACATTGTTTACAGTACAGAGGATGGATACCTCGGTGCCGGCGACGGAAGGCGTGCAAACGGGCCTGAACTTGTCGTTATCAAGCGACCGTTACGACGGCAGGGTAGACCCCATGGCTCTGCTGTCTGGAAATGCTACAGGGAGTACGGAAACAGCTCAGATGGAGGAGAACGGACAGCTGACTAACGGTCCTTCAAAAAGTGGAGGACCTTTTGCTCCTGTCACAAACCAAATCTAGCGAGGAAGAATAAACTCTGTACCGACTGTCAGCAGCCAACAGTCACCAATGGAGAGACTCTGCAGCAAGATTGAAGAGCTAGTCGACTTCATAAAGGACAAGAAAAATGTCCGTCATGAGATCAGAAAAATGGTTACGTCTCTTGGTACGGCATATAGGCTTGCCAACAAATCATCAACGACGACAGCGTCAACGACTCAAACATCTCTGAGTCTGAGCAAAAAACCACAGCCACCTGTGGTCATTCCTAAGAGATTATCACAGCAAGGAGAGGGCAACAACAAGAAGAGGCCGCTGTTCACGCCCAGCCCCTCTGCAGAAATTGACAAGCCAGCACAGAAAAAGCCAGCCTGGGATGATACTTGGACTAAAGTGACTTGGCACAAGAAAAAGAAGGATAGAGAACAGAACTCAGCGGCTCAATCTGCTACAGCCCAAAACCTGCCAAGCAATGATGGCTCCAAGAAACTGAGAAGGAAGAGGACGAGAACTAAAGCTGTGCTTGTTCAACCAGCTGAAGGGCTGACATACGCCGATCTCCTCAGGGAAATCGAGGCTAA